AGACCTTAAGAATCGTATGAACAACAATACTTCTACATTGCGATTTTGACAAGAACATACCAGATAACACCCTTGTTAACGTTGGCAGCAGTATAGGAGAATCCTTCGACTTGACCAGTTTTGCGGCCGAACAATCTGATACAGGTTAAAAGACCGGAGAAGAATAACAAACAAAATTGTAACATACCCGTGAAGATTAGGTCCGACCTTGTTGGGTTCACCAGCACCGAGGGTGTGACATTGCGCGCAACGAGTTTTGAAGAGATTAGCTCCCTTGGTTGCATCACCTGTCCAGGCATAAAAAATGTATACAATTCTAGACCTGGGTTGTAATAGAAGTTCTCACCTTCTTTAAAGCCCATTTCTAAATTCTAAGAGATATAATAAAGAAGGAGACGGGCGGATTAGTTACAAGTCTAAGAGGAGATAATGGAGCGAAAGCAGTGACGATGCCAATCTGGCTCCGCCCAAAAACTTGTAGTTTTTGAGAGAGCAACAGGCGCCCGGGTTCTGCGGTCCCGCCGTCGGCCGAAATCGGAGTAACTTTTCCGTTGTGGCACGTGTGTTGAAACAAGAAAGAAATAACAAAAGCTATTTTCTGAATCTTTTTCTTTTTCTTAAAGAAAATAAAAAGACCATTGTTTAAAGAATAGTTTATTATAACGAGACTTGCGTTTATGGAATGCGACAAAAATACTGCTTTGCACATGTCTTTGAGAGCATTGCAGAGACGGCGGGAGGCGCTAACAGGCACCACTGGTTCTCACGGAGGCCCGTCAATCTGTCACTTCCGAGACATTGGTGGGTAGATAACAAATTTGTAGTAGCTATGATAGTAAGATCAAACCTCTGTTCGTCAAGGCAACATGACCGAGTGGTTAAGGTGTCAGATTCGAATAAGATCATTTATCTGATCCTCTTTGAGGGCGCAGGTTCAAATCCTGCTGTTGTCGTTTTTTTCCTCCCCTTCTGGTTATTAATAAGTTCATCCTTCCTCATCTCACGCGAAATCTTGACACAAATCTTTCTCCAAGTTTGTAAGTAGATGAAGCTTTTCAATGCGTTTTTTTTTCTTTCTTTTTGTACACTTCAATATTTGTTAATAAGTACGATCTTGTAAAGTAACTTCCCCTGTGAAGAATTCCAAAAGGCAGTCACGTGTGGCACTATAGGTGTCTGTTTGTATCTCTGTGCGCGCCTTGCACTGTGGGCCATCTCAAAAACCACGAATGGCACGGTTCGGTCTCACCGAAGACAGTGATGAGGACGAAGTTCTCGTTCAAAATGGCACCCATATCCCTACGGAGACACAAGTTACCAAAGACCAACCAGCGGGAAAGGGGAAGGGTCGTGCGGCTTCGCCTCCCATGCAAGTTGACGAACTCGTTGGTGCTACTCGGCGCCGGAGATTAAAACCAACCGCAACTGCGTTAGTGGAGGGTGAAGGAGGAGAGACCCGATATGCACATGAAGTACGCCCTAGGGAGCGCAAAACCTCGACTTCGGACGAGGACGAGGATGAGGCCGCAGGCCGCCACCCTAGACGCAACGGCAACTCAACGACAGCCCCAGCACCATGGCCTGCGCAGATTGGCTTAGAACCCCATCGAATCCATGTCATGCAGACTTCGCTTTTCAGAATGCCCGAGGAGCAGGCCGCGTTCACAGCGGGCAAACAGAAGATCCCATCTACCAGCAAGCTAAAACCGCGCGAGCATGCTGAAAAACTCCTCAATGCATCAGCAAAGCTTGCCAGGAAGCACAGTCGAGGATCAGAGGGTGGCGGCGATAGCATGCGGGTGGATAAAGCAGAGGTGAGCATGATTAGCCCCTTGCTTTTAGACGGCAGTCTGAGGTGTTTCTAGCGTGCATCCTTTGATGATCACTCAGTTGATCCAGAACCTTACCGTCCTGCGCGTAAAGTGGCTCGTGTTCAAAGTGGCCAATCTATTTGTGTGGGGCAGGACGGCGCGTATGTAGATGCTGGCTTGGCGTTCGGCAGGTCATTTCGAGTAAGCTGGGGACCAGATGGTCAACTGGCGCGTATTTGTGGTTTATCAAGGTACCCGTATGATTTAGGTCACTTTTCCCTTTTTTTTAACAACCATCCGCATAATTCAGTTCAGTGGTTCAAATTGAAAGTATCGCTCTGGTTGCGGATGACGAGGTTTGTGACAATTGTAAGAACTTTTCGTGTCATATACCCATTATATTCGAGTAGGATTCCGGAAGAGAGCGTGCGTCGCGGCTTTTGGAGGCTCAGATAGAGCATTCCACGGTTGAACTGGACGATTCTGCTATTCCGGTCGCTTTTCCATCTCGCTCTCTCAGATTCTCAACTTTCGCTACATTATTCCCGCAGCATGATAATTCCCATGAAGCACAAGTATGGCGACAAGGCGTCGCGCTATTTGACCCGCTCCAGCAACCGACATCGCAGTATATCCCACCAACCGTTAAGCCTCGTCTGGTAGCTATCCAGCGACGAACAGCCCTGGCAGTTTGGCTTTCTGAGACAGTAGCTCCCACCATCGCCGCTACATTGCGGGACAATCCATCCGCCTCTTCAGCACAGCGGTCATTTATTAGGCTCACTGGTCACCAGATCGAAGAAGCGGCCGATGCTGCCGCTGCCGACGGAAATCCTTACCTTGCAATGCTAATCTCTCAGGCAGGCGGTGACACTGAATTTCGCACTGATCTTGACACTCAATTGTCTATTTGGACGACTGAGGGATCAGATCGACTGATTAGTGAAGCATATCGGAAGTGTCTGGCTGTCCTCTCTGGTGTAACGAATGTATGGCGACCACTTGTTAGCTCTGCTAACACGCAGGCTAATGAGGTGAATGTTGTAAATGGGCTTGATTGGAAAAGGGCCTTTGGCCTTGCCTTGTGGTATGGTGCAGGTAGTGAAGGCGCGTCGGGTTATGAAGTCGCTCTTGAACAATTCGAGCAAACAATGGGTCGTGATGGTGCTCCTATCCCGTTACAGTGGTACAAGGAGTCGCAGGGTGCCCCTGTAGCCACAGCATCTTCGTCCAGAGGTGATCTGGAGGAGGCAGATGCGCTATTCGAACTCTTACGGTTGGCCGCCGCTCAGATACCCCTCGAACGCGCTATATACCCCCGTGCATTCTCACCCAACAGTCTCGATTATCGTATGACGTGGCACATATACATGCTCCTCTCGCGAGCAATGCGCATCAAGGACTTTTCAGACCGTCATTTTATAGCAGATGATTCTGAGTTAGGGTCTGGTGCCGAGGGGCATAGTGAGACGGCGGATAACATTACATGTGCGTATGCTGCGCAGTTGGAGGCCTTGGGGCAGTTGCAAAAAGCAGTGTTCGTTTTATTACATCTTGAGGATGGACATGGGTAAGTGGTGGATGACAGGGGTGTAATTACCAGCACATTCATTTTGACTGTTTCCACTGCAGGCGTGAAAGGGCGATCAAGGAGCTGTTACTGCGACAAGCCCATATCCTTGAACCGTGGCAAATCGTTGGTCTTCAGTCCCTTAGCATCCCAATAGAATGGATTGAAGCTGCATTGGTACGCGAACCTTTATAATGCCTTATAGCGATGCACCGGGACTAATTATTGCCTAAAGGGTTGTCTGGCGCAATACGAGGGCAGAACGTTCGATGCATATGAGCATTTCCTGAAAGCAGATGAACAGCGCCTAGCGCACATCCTCGCCGTCAACGACCTCGCACCTGATGCCGTTATCAGGGACGATCTTGCGCTTTTACAGGGGTTGTTTCAGCCATTTAACCCACAAGTTGTTGATGACTGGTCGTTTAGGGGGAAGGTACGTGGCGATATCTCTACCTCTTGCCCACAGTACTGAATCCACCTGTTGTAGCTGTTTCTGGACTATGTGGATGCTACAGAGCGTATACCCAAACTTATAGCCGCGACGTCACGACAAGACGCCGTTGCAGATGCCAGTGACGCACTTGAATTGTCGCGATTGAAGAATACTGTACCTCAGCTTATAAGGGCTCTACCCGATGTCTTCAAAGACCGTTCTGATCCTCGCCAGAAAGCTGCACTTTCAGTGATGTTGTCCGGCTTACTATTGCTATTCGATAGCTTAAAAACAAAATCCGGGGTATGTTCAACCGCAGTCATCTTTGTTTGATGGTACCCGCTCATCTTCATACTTCAGGTGCAACCCGAGTTCGATGTGGATCTGGTTGATGAAGCCACGCGACTTCGTCATATTCATAATGCAGCCTATAATCGATTTATACAATCTGTATCCGTCGCAGCGTAGTTGTTATTCGCTTCGTTTATCTTGTCTAAGCTGTGTTTATAGGGCGGGCTTGGCGAAAACTGATGGCTATGTAGAGTGATTTGGTAACTCGTGTGTGATGGGCATGAACAAGGGTTTATCGTTTCCCATACGTGTACACGACGCGACAGGTGTTCTGGATGACTCGCGTTGTGTGTATTCCAGGTTACTGTTTCTTGCTATTTTGACTTTGTGAAGGTCATTTGCATGTTCTTCGTGTTATACGGCCCGACGTCTCTGTTAAAATATATTGTTCGCATCAGTACTTGGCCCGGGTTCTGGTAACCCTTGTCTTCAAGACTGCGTTAGGACATGCACTAAGAAAAGAAATTAGGTCAGATCACTTTCGATCTGGGGCGAAGTTGACCCTCTTTCATGTATGCCTTTGAGTAGTCAGATTGGCTTAGATATAAATCAGCCTCTAACACATTATTTCTGCTGTTTCGAGTCTTGATCTTGATTGGCCAGGACGAATTCATGTGCCCCCTTAGAAGGCTGCTAAACTCTCCCCTAACTTTATCGCTGCCATGTTTTTTGTAAACATGTATTACATTCTGAAGGCAATTTGTGCCTTGGGATTAATGTCTTTTCTAAACCCAGGAAAAGCCTGCGATGAGCTGGCAATAGAAAAGATTATTTTGGCTAATGGTAAAAATAAAAGGGTTCGACAAGCAAAATGGATGCTGAGAAGAAAAAACGACGCCAGCAGGATTTGAACCTGCGCCCTCAAAGAGGATCAGATAGTGGCTAATTCAAATCTGACACCTTAACCACTCGGTCATAGCGCCTTTAAGAACTCCGTCGACTTCATCTAATAAAATGGTAAAACCTACAAGCAAACAAGTGGGATTTGGAGTGCGGAACCGTAGTGGAAAACTTGGGAGCGACAAAAATTGTAATTAGTATTACTGACCAAATAAGTGATGATACACATTACAATGACACGGGCACAAGATGTTGAAAATATACGGTAGGTTTTCGGGGCGACAAAGTCCTTTATCCATTACAGCCGATTATACTGCAAATTACCACAGCCGAGTGCCGATATACTAATAAACGGAATATGGCCAAAAACATAGCGAAACCGTGAGCGTTCTCAACGGCTTGCAACTCAACAGCAATAAATCCCAACACAAAATTGCATAAGGCATACTTTCGGAGTTCACTCACATAATGAACAAGGGTTGAACCCATGGGGGGGCAAGCCTCCCATACCCTTGCAACTTTCTTCTGTATCAACAATTTGAAGTATTTAATAGGACATGTGATCTAACTCAGAGAAACTTAATAACATTTTTAAACACTACATTTTCAGTCATATCAGTTTCATGGAGTAAGATTTCACTCTTTCCCAATTTGTCCCTCTTGAAACACCAACATGAAATTGTATGTCAGGATGCCAGAGTGGGAACAGGTTGTGAGGGCCCAAGAATTAGGTTCCTAACAGTGGACTAAAACAAGAATAAGGATGGAACATATGAGTCTGAATGAAAGGTACAATATAGTCAGGTAGTTGGAGTGTTTACAAAATTAGAAACAAGGGAATCATAGCTGAGGGTTCCAATCATCTGTTAGGACCAGACAACCCACCAGGACCTGGAACCTCCATTTATTAGGTATAATGAGTATTGCAGAAGTAAGTGCTTGTATGAAAAAGGTGAGACAAAATGTCTCCAGAAGACGCAATGAGTTATGATGTTCAATCTCCTCTCGAATGTACTATTATATATGTGTAGTATAGTTAGTGAATCTCTCAGCGAACATTTAACTGCTGAGAGTAAGTGATATGTCTATTGCCTCATCACGAAGCAAAACTTATCATATGTATTTAGTACTTAAACATCTTTACCATTACATGTCCCCTTTTTATATCAATCAGCAACCTGAACCTGCCTGGAGATCTTGGCTCTCACAATATATGTAATATCCATTCCAATCAGTCTTGATACCTGGTTGCCAATCAGTTTATTGTCCCATGTGTGTATGTTCCTGGATTCATCTTGGACTTTCCCAAGACTTTGGCTGCCCCTGCCAGTTACCCTCATATCTTCCATTAGTTAAAATCTCTATTTGTACCCTCAGAACCCATGTGTTAAGGTCTAAGCTAAAAGAGAGAGGGGAGGCTCTAGTTGGGGGGCCAATGATAGAGATCATACTAGTCAGGAGGTCTGACTCTATAAACTAGAAAGAAACAATGCTCAATAACAGTGGAAATGGAGAAGCTGATCCAAGTGTCACCAAAAGATATAGTGTGGTTTGGGTCAGGACTGCTCACTGTGGGTGCCGCACACTGCTGTGAGGGGTGTCACGAAAAGGGACAATTGCCATGAATATACACATTGGCTTCAAACTAAAACATAGCTATGTTTTGAATGGTATATGCTCTTAGAAAAGGGGCTAATTCACATTAAAACCCAGTCTTAAAGTAAATTAATAGGGGAGTACACAGATTGATATTATATATATACAAAACTATATCTATTTTATGCTGTTCAAATGTGTCTTTGAGGGCATTTTGAGGTGTTCACGGCAGTCGTGAGACTCTGGCACTTTCCCATGGCCCGTCAGATGATCAGGTGATCCTTTTTTTTTTTTTTTTTGATATATTTGTATCCCGCTTCAAGCAACAATGGCTAACTGCGGCTAGGGGGTGAAAAGGCCCCCAGAGAAACCATGCTACGGTGGTACGAAGTCCCGAGTGAGCTACATGCGTGGAAGGGATTTTAGTAAGCAAAGGGGGGGCATGTAGATATACACGTATAGAGCTGAGGCCTTGAGGCCTTGGGCCGAAGCCCCAAGAAAAGCCCGAGATCCTGCTAGCAGGCGTCGACAAGGGCTGCAGGCACACTGAAGTCTTGCATTGCTAGTGCATAGGTGAATGCTGGAAGGGTAGACTGCTGCCGGAGAGCAGTCATGGTTGGTAGGTGCCAGTGACGTTCCGCAGACGACACTGGTGCGCAGCTGAAGGTTGCCGACTTTGACAGAGCAGTGAATTCAGAGGCCCCCAAACCTGTTCACTGTCATTCGCCTCTCCGCCTCTCACCACGAGCACTGGGGGTCCCAACCCCAGAGGCAGGTGGTGGTCACGGAACAAGAGAGCCTTGTCAGGTGATCCTCTTACTTAAATGGAAATGAAGGGTGCTTCGGATTATTTCTGGTTCATCTGCATAGCATTTCTGTCAAAGTATGTTGTAATATGCCGAAATATTGGCATTGCAACACAGCCTGAATAAGGTCCACCACAATGTAATGTACACATCGCCCAATTCCTTATCGTAGAGGCATAACTTGTTGTTTATCCAGAATCGAGCGCTAATGGCCAACACTACCGATATCCCGCCAAATAGCTACGAGATGGGCGAGATAACTCACGTGGACGATATTGAAGATTTGCCGCCTACGGTTTCCCCTTCAGCAGTCCCAATAAGTACTGACTTGCAGCAGAGCAACGAAAACATCACAAGGACAATCAGGGCTTATAAAATGCTCCAGGAACGATGGGGTTGTGATGAACGAGGCCATGATATATGCTTACAGGGGACCGATTATGTTGGTCATATCCAGCTGTCCGAAGAACAGGTATCCATTTGGACACGCGAAATTGTGGGCCATCTGTTCATTGAAATCAATAATATTATTACTGAATCAACGAATAACTCATCCCCACAGTGCCAGGGTCACGCGACATGTTCGTACCCACCATGCGTGATTATTATCCCAGACGGCTTCAGATCCAATAGTGATTGGGGTGCTAGCGAAACGAATAGTCACGCAGATGGTGAGATTGAACCAGGATATTTTTGTGGTCTAGCTTTGGAACGAGTTGGGACAACAATCCTTTACCGTGCAAAAATTTCGGTGTTCGTAACCAAGCTATTATTGTATTACCAAATTGTGGATCTTGGCCGGTCTTATGGAATAACTAGACACCTTCGCAAACGCCTGTCTCTAAGAGGCTTGGGAATAATAGTGCAGGAGAGTGCGGATTTGATGCGGTATGAGTCGTCATCCATGGCACGAATTTATCACCGAAGCTTTGAAAATTGAATACCTTTACAGGCCATCGTATCCATCGTATATTCGAAAACAAGCATCTAAAGTTTTACTCCTAGCCCGGCACTTCACTTATGGATACGACGGTGACGAAAATTTCCACTGGTCTACATCACTTTGGTTAGGTTATGCATTTTATGCATTCGGCGCGGTCATCGACACGGAACATGATAGTCTGGTGTCGACTGAAATTATGTCAACACTGTATAAAAGTCTGACCAGTGCACCCCTACACACCCATAGCTCCGAGATCGCATCCACTTTCATCTCAATGATCACTCAATGTGCAAGTGGCTCGGGGAGATGGTATCATAACTGGCTTTCCCTCCTGCTTGAAAGTATCGTGTTGCATGGAGTGAGCAATTTACGTAAGCTGTCGCTCAACGAACTGAATGTTATTCACGACTATTTGGAACTCTCGCTGCAACCGTGAGATATGTATTAGTATTCCTCACACTGATCTGAGTTAAGCAATGACAGATGCAACCGAAGACACTACTACAGGAGAGGGGTTTTTCCCAACCGAATGCGACTCTCCATGACATGTTCACAACAGGACGCACGGTTTAAGATCATATGCGAGGAATTATTGGATGTTGCCCTAGATGCCACCGTTTCGGCTGGGTCTTTGGTGAAAGGTGATACATACGGGCTTTTCGATTCGAGAGTAGAGGTTATGGAGGCGTATTTCGTGGACAGCACAATGCTGAGAAACAATACCAATAGGATCGGTCGCATTGCATCGTGTTTTGTTTTTCACTTACGGCACGTTTTACACGCACTTCTCGCAACTAATGTACTAACTATACTTCACCTTCTAGTCATATCTCGACCCAATGTGACCCCTGGATGGTGCTCGCCCTTCTTGCCGACATAATCGAGACAATCATGAAGCTCATAGCAGCTTCTCCTGATCCGGAATTTTCCTGTACTGAAATACGAGCAGAAAATGTAGTAAGCGCTTTCGTCGACCTTATCTCACATCTCGATGCACTGGACTGTCGCCTTCAACCCGACTATTCCAGAAACTTTCCACGGTTGGAAACTGCCTCTCACTCCTTCCTACTCTTGATAGCCATTCCATTCACGGGTCCTTCGGTCCTATGCAATTCCCATTGCATATCGGTCCTAGAGGAAAATGGATGGGTTGGAAACGCCGTTTCTGCCAACAATTAAGCCACTGTTTCCCCCTTGGTTATCATTGTGATTGTGGATAGCGCCTCTCCATGCCGAATTTCTACCACCAATATTTGGGAGTATCTGTGGAGTACTGGAACATTTCTCTAGATATCGGTGACAGTGAACTCAGTCATAATTCGGTACCACCATTAAACTATCCCTATTCTGATCATTTGCTAGCCCTGGTCATCCGTCATACTCAGCTTCTACCACGGGCGATTGCAAGTCTGACTGGTTGCAGCGTGCACCCAGCACACACCCTGTTTTCCAGTCCTTGATTCCCTCCCTTGCCGTGAACACGAGATCTTCATCAGACATTTCTACAACACATCTTTTTTACCCAATATGTAGGACAGAATAGATGAATAAAATTCGGCTTCATCAGCGTTCGCTCCGTGACAAAGTACATCCTACATTTCACAAAACACGGATTTTTATCCCCTTAGGACGTCTAATACCCACTAAATGTGCGAGAATCTGATTTATTCACACTTTCTGTGGGATATCATCTACAGTGACTCACAAAATGTATCCAGTTTCAACTTACATACCTTAC